TTTTCGTTATCTTACAATGAGACGTTTTTATCTACAGAGGGAGCGGGCCTTTGCACTTAAGTCACGAGGTTTCCGTTGGTTGCAATCTGCGATCTCACCCCTAGATGCCACTAAATTCTACACACTGGTCCTTTAAGACAATGTGATAACAAGACGAGGTTTGAAATATCTTAATGGGAAACAAACTTACTTTGAGGTAGTCGAAGATGTTGCAGATGAACGTAACGTAGCACACCCACTCCTGCAGCGAGCGCTGCCTCGTCTCCTCGCGGTCGTTGAACTCCTGCTGGAGCCGGTTCAACAAGTTCCTCCTGAAGACAATTCCATTGCTCTGCTTGGCCTCTGCCTGCACGAGGTGACCGGGAGACGTCAGACAGAAAGTGGAGTATGGACAACATGTCAGGAAACACAGTGGTGTAGGTAAACAGGCTTAAGAGCCTCCTGTTGCTCGAGTGTAAACTACCAGTTAGGCATTAATAAGGTAAGAGGATTAATATGGTTAAAGAGACTCAATCAGATATTTAAGTCCTGCTCTGGTTTCTTAAATCCCTCTGCCTCAGTGGTGTTCAGTGTCTTGATCAAACAAACTAACATGGACAACAATTACTGTGAAAAGGTGATGGACAACCAGCCCATCTAACTGCAAACAGTATGGACCTGCACAATGGTGTAGCAGATGCGTCCAGCCTCTTTGCTGAACACCTGGTCCTTTAAAGACTGATCCATGATGATATTGGATACCTTCTCCAGGTTCACCGAACTTGGGTCTGAAAGAAACAAGAAAGATTGTTTGAGATTCACACAGTCAATTATCAATTAAGTTTCAGCAGCAGGGTTTGAAACGGAGGCTGAAACTCCTATAAATCAGTAATAAGAGAACAATAGCATGCTGACCTTTCAAGGCTGTTTTCAGCAACATCTGTGTGTCCAGGTCAAAAGACTGGATCCTGTAGTCATCAGTGGAGTTTTCCATCATAGACGATACCAAACTGTGGAGTTAGCATGTAAAAGTGGTGAAAATATACAGATGATTTTAAAAAAAGAGAGAAATACAGGCTTTTTTCAAACACAAACTGAGGTTCTGCTTCAAGCCTGGGCACAAAACCCCATCACACAGATACAGATGAACCACAGAGCAATTTGTGCGACAACAATAACCACTAAATCCTGTGCTGTCATCAAACTGGGGCTGCTGCCCACAGCTCATTCACTGGGGGACAGGAGGGATTACACGGGCAAACCCAGGTCAACCAAAAGGTCACCTGATACCCCAAATCAACAGGATTTAACACCCACAACAAAGTAGTCTTTTAATGAGTGCGGCATTAATGCTAGTATGTCCGCCACGTGTCCTCATGTAACGACTTGCTAAAGTGAAAATATCTTATGTTTTAGTTGATCGCTGGGTTAACGATGACAAATGAGGCGTTTAACACAGTTTTTGCTGCCCTGTAATCAACACACACACACTAAAGGCTAACGCTAACTAATGTTGAATTACAGCTAGTTAACAGTGAGTTAGTTAAATGAGTTAAGTGAGTTAGTTTGTTTGTGTGCCTCCGCTCAGCTGTACAGAAAACCGTTCAACGATTAACTCCAGTTAGCTTTAAGTTGTATACCTTAACACACCTTTTGCATTGCCGCTCGCCAAAAGAGAGGGAACGGGTTAACGTTAAATATCGAGTTGGTGGGGAAAAAAGCCGGGTTATATCAGTTACTTACATTCAGAAAATAATGTGCGGGAAATGTACCTTAAATTCACGTCAATTCTTTACATCTAAGCTGGTTAAAAACCACTCGGGTTAGAGGCGGCAGACGTTACTCGACACACAGCCGTTCAAAGATGAAGTGTCACGGCAAGATAAACCCCTGCTCGTCGTCACCTCGTAGACTCCGCGAACAACCCCGAAGGCTATTCGTGTTCGCGGAGGTTATGTCATTTCCGGCGGGTTGGGCGTGAGGCAGGGATTCATCTCGCCGCGATACTTTCTGCTTTGGGAGAGGACCCGGAAGTACTATTAGGCATCTCTTGTAGCGTGCAGTACGAGTTCTTGTCATGTTAATGTTGGACTGTAGCTGTCGGGGTTTGGTTCAGCTGTACGTGTATTTATGAAGGACTTACTATAAGGTAAGTGTCCGTCTACGTGTGTCTCTGTTTCAGACCTTTGGGACAGCTGCTCTGTTGTTTTTAGCTTAGCTTAGCTAGTCCCAAGGTCCCACTGCATGTCCTCTGGTTCCGTGTTGTGACTCTTGTCCTCATAATGCCTGTTGTTAGTATTAATACTGTATAATACTATATTATATTATTAGTCTCGACAGGTGTGTCTAGATATTGATACTCTGACTATATTTTGGGGTTAAAAAGGGACAAATCTGCATTATGAGTTCATTTTGTTGCAAATACTTGTGGACTGTTTTTAAGATTTTAAATGCAGGACTTTTACCTGTAGTGGACTACTTTTGTAGTATGTCTATCTTTACATAAACAAAGGATCTGAGTCCAGCACTGCTCTATAATAATGAAGAAATCAAAATAAATACTTAAATAGGCACACACATCAAAACTGATAACGCATAAATCATCATAGCATGCACCAAAATATTTGGCTGCTGGATTTGTGAGATGTACCTATACATATATGTGTAACGTATACTTTTGCATATACGTCCAAAAAGATATTTTCTAGCAATTATATTTTAAATGTACAAAACATAAATTATTCATAATTCCTGTCCGCAGTGTTAACAGGAATCTGAAGGCTGTGGAGATATGGTGGGCTATGACCCCGGGGCTCAGGATGCTGCCCTCTGCCCAGAGGAGGCAGCCCTGGCTGGGTCCGCCGCTGGGATGGTCACTCGAGCCCTCATCAGCCCCCTTGATGTGCTTAAAATCAGATTCCAGGTAATGATGCGTCTGTGTGCTCGCTGTGGATTCATGCTCATTTAGTAGATATTTAAATTAAATCCTTTTATGGTAATGATTTTTCAATATTTTCACATTTCACGCTGTAAGAATATACTTTATATTCCAATATTGAAACCCGTTTATTACATTTTATTCAGTAATAATGTAGATTTAAAGCACATTTATCATCCGTTGTTGATTTGGCTTCCATGCTTTTCTCTTAACAACTGAACTCTGATGGAAAACAGTAAATTTGCCATTAATGCTGTTAACTTCCTGTACGTTTATCAGTTTCTCTTTTCCCCCACAGCTGCAGATTGAGCGCGTGTCTTCACAGAGGCCAGAGGGGAAGTACTGGGGAATATTTCAGGCGTCCCGCTGCATTCATTCAGAGGAGGGACTCTCTGCTTTCTGGAAGGGTCACATCCCTGCGCAGCTCCTCTCCATCTGCTTCGGGGCTGTCCAGGTAGAGCCTGTGAACTGCATGCTCACACAAAGTAAACGTCTTAAAACTACCGTACCTGAATTTACTTAATTGTGTATGTGTGCTTTACAGTTTGCCAGTTTTGAGTTTCTGACTGAGATGGTCCACAACATGACGCCATATGACAGCCAGACAGCAGGAGTTCACTTTGTGTGTGGCGGTTTGGCTGCTTGCTCTGCTACAGTGGTCTGCCAGCCTCTGGACACACTGCGGACACGCTTTGCAGCTCAGGGAGAACCAAAGGTGGGACATGCCACTGCTGATCTACTGTAGCTGTCAGAAAGTTCTTGATAGTAGATAGAAATGTATAAAGTTTATGGGACAGAATTTATTCAACTCATAGTTTTTCTTCTAGTTTTTCGATGGATTTTATGAGTTGATGTATAGAAACATCTGTCAGCCCGTGTCCTTGCTGCGTGTCGTTCCCCCTCTCTTCCGTCTTTTCTGTCACTCTTCAGCTGTCATTATCAATTAAAGGCAATAAAAGCCCCCCTAAATTTAGTTTTTTAAAAGAAATGGATGTGGTAGGGGAGAAACAGATGAGTAACCACTGACGGCAATAAAAATGTTGGTTGTCTATCTCCTATGTCTCCTCAGTTGAAATCAGAATGATGAAGATGGCCCCCTGTAGCACTCCCAGTTTTAAATTTTACCCATCTAAGGAAACATTCTGTCTTCAGAAGCTTCATTTTGTTGCAAATTTGAATAAACATCAAAATGTGGATTCACTTTCGTGCTTATTGCAAGATATCTGGTGTTGAAAAGTCTTAAGCACTAAATTCAGTTTACTCAAAAAGGCATAAGAACATAGAACAACAAAGTTTCATTAACAAACGTCTTAAATATTCTCCATTGCTTGCTGTAGGCAGTATCATGAGTTATAAAATGTTTTGTATGTGATTGCAGCTGTCTGGAGATGTTATCACATAAACAAAAAATAGGATTGTTGTGACTCTGACCCAGTGCACGCAAGAGGCTGTTCAATCCTTTTTTTGTGGAATTTCAGTGAGCACCATCAGACCTGTTGCAAACACTATCGCTACTGCTAGCGACAGAAGCAGGAAGCTCACTGAGTCACAATGGGCAAGTGTCGAATTTACCAAGAACCTAAAAAAATAATCAGGTTTAATTGGTTAATCCTTATCAGCTTATCTGCAGCTTATCTGCAGGTCCAGGTCCTGGTAATTAAATCCACAATGGTTTCTAATGATACAATGATATACTGATGGGAAGTACTGAACAACTGGGATATCATTTTTATGTATTCGTATGCTACATCTGTCCTCTCAGGTGTACAGCAACCTGCGACATGCCGTGTCCACGATGTACCGTTCAGAGGGCGTACTGACGTTTTACCGCGGCCTGGCTCCAACACTGACGGCAGTGTTTCCGTACGCTGGGCTGCAGTTCTTCACCTACAACGTCTTTAAAAAGCTGTTCGCCCCACCTCCCACAGCTGGAAAGTCTGGAGGTCAGTGGAGATCAAACTCATTGTTACGCCCATGGAATTTATTACACCACATTACGTGCACATGTATGAATTATTCACATTTGGAAGTCCCGTGTCTCCCTTCAAGGAAACCTGAGCAGCCTGGTCTGTGGCAGCGGAGCTGGAATAATCAGCAAAGCAATCACGTACCCCTTTGACCTCTTCAAGAAGAGACTGCAGGTGGGGGGCTTTGAGGCAGCCAGAGCACGCTTCGGTCAGGTGAGCTCCTCAACAGCCCGGTTCACACTTTAAGAGCACATATTTTGGGTTTAATGTGTAAGTATTATATATATATATCTCCTGTTTCTCCCGGGCAGGTGCGGAATTATAGAGGCCTGTTGGACTGCATGGTTCAAATAGCCAAAGAAGAGGGCGTCCGAGGCTTCTTCAAAGGCCTCTCTCCCAGCCTTTTGAAAGCCGCTGTGTCAACAGGCTTCACCTTTTTTTGGTATGAGTTCTTCCTCAACGCCATGCATAACTTCAAGGAGGGACGGAGAACAAACAGCCTCACCAAAGACTTAGAGGAAAGATAATGAAGGAAACAAAAAAGTGATGATGGCGCAACCTCCACACTGGAACAGACTGGAAATAGACTCATGCATCATTCTTTGCTTGCACTTAACACATTTATCAACCGGGTCGATGTTTGGTGGTGCTTTCTATTGTGTTTACATGTAAGGATGGGAAAACATAACCTCGTATTATTTGTTTTTGTGTTATCGTCACACCTCTTGTATAAGCATTGGACTTTTAAAAAATGGTTTTAGTCTGGGTTTCTAAGGATTATGGATGCTTGCTTTTACAAGATAAACTACATTGTATAATTTTATGTTCAAACACAACTTTGCACATTTTAAACTCTGACTTTTAACGTGTCATAACCTTGCCATTGTTGGCTCACATTTTGTTAAATTGAATTGAATTGAAAAGAGAGAAGAAGCAAAATGTGCTTGTGTTGATTGTGTGGTCGTATGTGTATAGACAAAAACATCAACACTTATGTGAGTGTAATATTTATTATATTATGTACTGTGGTGGGCAAAACAGCATCCTGTTGACTATAGGCCAAATACACTGCTAATTAAGAGTAACACTCTTAAAGGTGTCTGTGGTTGTGCTATGTGTCTGGCCAACGCTACAACTTTCAGGTCATTATTTTTTGAATAAAAGTTTTTATAAAGAGTTCTGTGTCGTGCTTTGACAAGAAGTTACATGAACGTTTGTGAATAACTAACAGCAGCAGATGGATTAATGTTGCTATGTTTTTTAAAGGTATGTAGGCTTTAGTGTCATCTAGTAGTGTAGTTTCAGATTGCAGCTCACCTGTTTCACTCTCCCTATTCAACCACGAGGGAGAAACTACGGTGGCTGCAAAACATGCAAATAATGGAAATGGATCTATCTAGAGCCAGTGTTTGGTTTGTCTACTCTGGGCTACTGTAGGAACATGGCGGTTCAACACTCCACGGAAGAGGATATAAACATCTGTAGATGTAAACTGCTCATCCTAAGGTAAAAAAAACCCATGATTCCTGTATTTAGGTGATTATACACTAATGACATACCTATGAATATTATATTCCATTTCTGACAATTGATCCTCCTAAATGTTCCACACTGGACCTTTAAATTAGGTAAAAGTTCATTCTGACTATTTGCCAGTATTGACCTGGAACTGGAGAAACGGTTGCATTGTGTGGCTCACCCTTTATAATATGATCAATGTTATTGTCACATATACAATCATAGAAAAAAAGTGTAATGACATTTGTCCTCTGCAGGTTACCACTCATAAGTACTAGGAGCAGTTGGCAGCCACTGTACAGCACCTAGGATCAACTCCAGATTAATCCAGTGCCTTGGTCAAGCTAGGAAGTTCTCCTTTGATGTTGAGAGGAACCCTCGTACACTCTTCTCTCTTCTTGCTGTGAGTTGTTGTTGATGATTGTGCATTATGAGTATTAGAGTATGTTTGAGCTTTGTTACTTCGTTATCTTCTTTTGTGCAAAAATAAAAGTTTTAAATGTTTGAGTACATCAGTAGGGATGGTGCTTCCGTTCTAAACTACTTTAATGTGTTACAGCATTACACTGATGTAAAGTAATTGGATTACTGTGTTTATTCAAGATAAACATAAAGAACAAGTTATGAATTTTAGGTCTGATAGCCCTTCAAACTAATCTTTTAATTAACATAAAAATGTGTTTTGCGTGTGAAGAAAAAACATTTGAGAGGCTACGTTTGATTCAATTCTAATAAATTGTATTAACAAAGATGCCTCACACAATTATGGATACAACAGGATTTCATTTAATTTACTGGATACAAAACCCATTAACAGTATGACTTAAAAATGAATACAGTTAAAATGAATAAAGCAGCAAAAAGAACATGCAAACCGCATAACCAGTCTATAAAAACTCAGTTGAAACACAACATCAAGTATGAGGCCAAGATAAAGAAAACAGAGAGAACACTGAATTCACAAATATTTAAAAACAGCCTCTTGAGTCAAAATCATGCAATTACAGAAGTCATTTACAGACCCAGTGGGTGACAGAACTCACTATAATAAACCAACACTTAAAGAAGATAGAGAGTCCTGTCCTTTAAAAATACACAAGAGTAATTTCATAGCAGCGTCATCACTGGATAGGATAATCTTTTTGAAGTACTTGTAGACATTTTACCGGATAAATAATGTTCATACAGTATATACAAGAATACACAACCACCTTACACCTGACTGTGGAAAACATGATACTCAACTGATACAGTGGCCAATGAGAATCTGACCCAACAACAAAACCAAAGACTGCTTAAAGGTAAAACAGAAATAAAAACAAATTCTGTACATGTAAAGTTTATGTGCAGTGACTGAATCTCAACACACCCTGAGCTTGGATGAAAGTAAGGTGATTCTCTGTGGGATAAAACGTATTCAGGAATGTGCGCTACACTCAATCTGACTAATTAGACTCCGTACTGTCTGATGCATGGTGCTGGCTGTCTGAGGAGGAGAAAAGAATGAGGAGCCTCCAGCGTTTGTGAGACTCTCAATGGGACGCACTATACCTATCAACCTTGCAGGGCTTTTTTGCTGTGGAGATCAGGGGCTGCCTGTCTGTACCTGTAAAGGCAGCCTGAGAGCTGTCTGCTTGGCTTGTAACACCGGCGGGTCTGCTGAAGGGGCTTGGATCACCAGGGCAGAGAAAAGTGTCTCCTTCACTTCAGCTGGCTGAGGGGGCATTGTGGGATGTGCTGGGCAGGCATCCTCCACTGATCCACAGGTTGAGGGTGTTCACCAGTGGCACAGCCTCGCTCTCATTCTGGCTGCGGACTGGAGTTCCAGGAGAAAAAGCTGGGCAGCTTGAAGATTGAATCCCTGCGGCCCGGATCCGGCAGGGTCAAGGTCTCTGGAGCTGACTTCTTCCTGGGACGCTCCTTTGGCACTGACAGGAACTCGGGGGCTTCTGTGGAGAGGGGAGTGGACGGGGCGCTGTTAGGGCCACTGCGGGTGCTGCACGGCAGAGGGGTGTCTGAGATGGAGATGGCGGGGGGGAAGGAGCCAATCTTCAGGTTAGTGGCTTCTTGTGTGGCACGCTCGTACTCTCTGACTTCCTCCATGGTCATGTCTGTTGGGATGGAGGCGTTACACATTGAGATAGAGACAAAGCTGGTTCATAATTTAATTCTAGAGAAGAAGGCGCTTAATTAAACAGTCCAATTATTGTTGAATCACCTCCATGTGAAGTAAGAAAAAGGGAATATTGACAGTGATAGAAATATGGCAATGTGATGATATGACACAACATAGTTCGGTGTGGACATTTATCAGTGTATTGTCTATTCTTCTATTCATAGTCAGGTCATAAGATGTCCTCGAACAGTGATTCCCAACCAGGGGTGCTTTTTATATTTGTGTTGTATGATTACAACTGATTATTATTATTTACAATAACCAGTAACACAACAACATGCATTGCAATGTGCTTTAAAACTAGTTAGCAAGAAAGAAAAGTGATTGAAACATTATAGGTAGCTAAAAATAAAGGATAAATGGTTGAATAGTAATTGTAGTGATGAATTAACATCTGAAATTGTTAGCTTAAAATATTTAAAAACAGTTAAAATTGTTAACTAAAAAAGTATGAATAAACAACTCATAACTAATCACACATGTATGCACACAGGCTGACATTTAAACAAATTATTACAGGAAATACAAAACATATTTTAAATTACATATCACTATTTTAAATTTTGTAGCATTTTGAGAGTGTTATATGTTTTGTATTTATTAAATTTTTTTGAAAATATGACAGACATTTCTCAGTGTGCCACTAGAGGCAGCTCATGTACCACCAGTCGTACACGTACCACAGTTTGAGAATCAGTGGTTTAGACAGTTTCAACAGTATCAAGATACACTTTTATGTGTACATGATGAGTACAAGGGAACATCCAGTTTATAATCCATTCATAGGAACTTTGGAACATGACGAGTGGTACTGTAATAATTAGGGGGACTTGAGCTCATTTGTGAACACTGTGGGTATATCAGACAATAAAGGTTGGGAAGTACTAAATCAAGCACCTGGATTTGCTCATTTACTTGTCTTTATGAGTTAATGAGTCCAAACAGACAGTAATATTTTCTGTCTTATTGACCAGTAAAAATAGTCTCTTCAGACACATTGGTGCTAAATCACAGGCAAATAACCTTTCGGTGGTGGTTAGCTTTGTAGTACCTGCTCCACACTCACTCTTTGATTTTACCCTGATTTTTCTGATATCTTTATAAAAACTGACATAAGCCTCAGGATTCTTCAAACAGAGAGCTGCACAGCGTCAAACATTTGTGAGTCTGAAGATCAGAGAAGGTTCCTACTGTGTGGTTCAAAACCAATACCCATCACTTGGCTTTTGTGCATGTGCTTGTAGTTAAGTACATGGTTACATCTGTTATGCCTGCAGTGCAGTGGTTGAACAAAAAATGGCTCATAGGAGATGTGAAATGAATCAAGAAAGTGGAGTTGAAACTGGAAAACTCTACATTAATGGATCATTCATAAGATGCTTCACTGTGATGAAATACAAAAAAATGCTACTACACCAAAAACAACATGCACAGATTCAGAGTATGAACAGTGTGACAGCAACATGTTAAAAAATGTAATTATATAAAAACCTAAGTCTGAAGTTGCAGGTGAAGACGCAGTTTGCTGCAGGTATAGAAAACTCCTGCAGTCACCTCTGTATTGCCTTTGGAAGGACAACACCCTGGATATAATGCTAAATAACAGCACGGAAGATTGTAGAGTTCTCTATCCAGAGATTGTCATCTTTATAAATGTTTAAAGCCAAAAAGAAGTGAATAGTGTGCACTGTGTAAAGTACAAAACGAAGTGGTAATAATGAAAAAACATGGATAAACCACTTATGATCACATAGTCTGTATTGTATAAACCAATCAGTTATTTGTGGGGTAATAGCAAATTTAATGTGAACAGTAGTGCTTTTTAGAAATAAATGATCAACAAAAATGATCAGGGCTTTGCCACATTATGAAACCGCAATCTTGCCATGAGTCAGTTTCTACACATTAAACTAATAACCTGTGTTTAATGAGCACTGACATCTCTAAGGTACTTACCAATCCACTCATCCACCCAGGCAAAGGCCTGTCTGTGTCCTAAAAGCAGGACATCTCGAATCACCTGAGCAGAATGACAAAAACAGAGAGAGAAAAGGAATGAAAAGATTGCAGAGAAAAGTAAAGAGGGACATAAGTATAGAATCAGTTAACTCATAAGGCAATAGAAACATTTTTAAGTTCTAAATGTTTCCGTTCCCCCCCGGAGGAATGTGATTAATATGAGTCACTCCTGGTGTTACCATGTGAGTAATGAACCCTGCCTGTGTGTGTGTGTGTGGTGTGTGGTGTGTGTGTGTGTGGTGTGTGTGTGGTGCTGTGGTGTGTGGTGTGTTGTGTGTGGTGTGGGTCGTCGTGTGTGTGTGTGCCTCGGGCAAAGGGGAGAAGACAGACAGTCGCCCCTAGGCGGCATGCTGTTGTGGACCCGTGGGCCTACGCGTGAAGGAAATGGATTTGGGAAATAGGAGTTTAAACTGTGCAGCCAAGGTAAAGGGAGGTGGTGCAAGGCAATCTGTATGATATGAACAGGGCAGATATCGTCGAAGGTGATAATGGAACATCTGATTTAGTTCACGGCCAGCTGGTTGTGTGTCACATGTTTTCAGAGCAGTAAACGCCTCCGGCACAGACACCGATCTACGCAGGTCAAAAAGTTTGACTGAGTAGGGAGAGGGTATTTCTGAGAGGCTAAAACTTAATATAACATTTTTTAAATCCTGACCTTGTGTACAAACTGCTCCACACGTGTTTGCAGGCCCCAGACTTCAAACTTGACTGTGACCAGTTTGTAGGAGCACATGATGGGGTCCTGCTTGTTGATCCATCCTTCCTGCAGGTTGCCTCGGTTGGTCTTCTTCGACTTAAAATGCCGCAGGTCCTACAAGCGCACGAGAACCCAGAAAAATAAGGAGAAAAATATTATCATGAACATGTCTGCAAAAAAATAAATACCAAAACTCCTCCATCATTTATCTCTCTCTCACACACACACGTACACATTTCCTCCTCCCTGCCTATAAGGCACAATCACCTGTATCCATTACGAGCTTCCTGCAGAGCACAGACGGGCTGCACAGTGGGAGTCCCTAATCTCAAAGTTTACGTGCATTAATTACTGCTCCCTATAGACTAATTATGCTGTAGTGCTCATTTGTCTGCCGACTGTGACGGTGTGCGGGGGTGATGCTCAACTCTAGATCCCTGCTGGGAAAGCACTTGCGGTGGAGGTGAAACGGGGGCCTGTTGCATTTGTCTGAAAAGGTGTCACAAAGTTTCTTGGCAGACGAAGAGGGAAAAGATGAGAAATGCTACCAAAAACTTTTTAAAATATTTATTTTAAGACACTGTGTCCATTAATATTTTTACCTTAATATCATGCAAACAATCTCATATTGTGACACACTTCAGGCATTCATGAGCACCGGTAATATCAAAGACATTGAGTACTAAAATTACCAGCATGGTAAATAAATGTAATCAAATAAATGTAACAGCATGTGGGTAGGATAAGTAGGCCCAAACTATATAGCTTACAATTTATTCAACAGAGATGATCCTTACATAAAAAAGTATTCATGATTACACCATGTCTTAATAGAGAGACTATCCATTCTAGTGCATTTTCAGCAACCAATCACACCTTTTAAAATAATGAGTCAACCTCCTCACTGAGGTAAAAGTTTCTGTCCCTTCCTTGCTCAGAGTTGCCTTGAGAGTTTTCATAAATCACCTCTGGAGCTAGAACTCCTTGCTAGAAATGTTAGGAGTGTTAGGAGCTATTCTCAGAATGGCCCCAGGAAGTGTCTGCATCCAGCTAGGAAACAGTCCAGCACCTAAAGCCCATTAAAACCACAACATGTTGTTTTTACACTTCAGTATTTATACGGATACGGATTAAACAAACACGATATAAAATGTTAGTTATTGAGCTTTAGAGGTGCTGTAGGCACATTTTGTTTTCTTTGGAGAGAGCCAGGCTACTGGCTGCTACCAGTGTTTGTATTAAGCTAAGCTAACTGGCTGCTGGCTGTAGCTTCATACACAGACACTGAGAACGGTACTGATCTACTCATCTAACTCCTGGCAATAAAATGAATAGGCATATTTACCAAAATGTGGAACTATTCTGTTGATATCCATTAATGATTAATAAATATATGTCTTCCTTTTCTTTTATTTGTGAAGCACTTAGAGCTTTAACACCTTCTGTGTCGGAAAGTTTCTTCTTCTTCTTCTTGTTTATGAAATGATCCTAGAAAGAGTATGAAACATGTACGTCTGTGACCATTGTCTTTTATTTGAATGAGAACATCTGTGGTCAAAAGAAACAACCAAACACACGCGCTGTAACTGCTTCGATGCTGTTGGTAGGTGTCAGAACACACTGGTGACTGTGGTTCATTCATGTGCGATGATCTATGTGCTGCATTGTCAGGTGTGACTGTAGTGTATCCAAAACCCATCTGTCTTTAAAATCCAATGATTTTTTTTTACATCGGCCACGTGGCATCCTCTTTTAGCTCCGTACGGCATCTCTGTGCTATTCTTAGCTCTGAGTGGATAAAAGCAGAAGACCATAAAGCCCAGTGGGAGGCATGTACGTACGTGTGTGTGTGTGTGTGTGTGTGTGTGTGTCTATAATAAAACGCCACTGCAGTGACATCAATGCCCCTCTTGATTATTAATAGCTCCGTTTTTTATCGCCATCACACCCTCAAAGACGGGCACACACACATGCATACAAATGTCAAATCACCACAGCTAATGTCCATCACCTCCCCCCAAACACAAACGTGCATTTCCATCACTCTTGAGGAGGCAGATGGCCAGATGGTGGTCAAAAATGAGCTGGCGCTGCTCGAGAAAGATATCACACTATTCTGCTTATCTGCTCACACGCCGTCCCTTGCCTTCTTTTCTCCTTTGTTGACTTCTCTCCTCTTCTCCTTGTTCTCCTGTTCATCTCCATACCCCTCTGTTCTCTCATTCTTTTTTCAGCCTTCCTCTATCTCTGCCACGTGTGCGTGTATTCATTCACTCTATGCTCCTGTACACGCATACAATTAGAAAGCGTGTGCCCTGAGGTCAGCGACTTGACTCCCCTCACCTCTGACTCCTTGTAGTGGCGCTCGGGGATTTCATCATAGGCGATGTCCACGAACCACACCTCTGTTTCCTCTTCTCTGGGCTCGCTGCCAAAGATCTGTGGATCAGGGAACAGTTCAATGTGTGAGGAGGACAGTTAAATCAATAACGCACTTCGGGGGTTGACAAATGTTGCGGGATGATGTGCTGTGATTTCCCCTGTTAGTTGGTATAGTTCAAAGAGGTTAGGGAGTTTGACAATGAGATTTTTGTCCTGTTGGAATTAAAAGTACGGGAGCACAAATGACATGATGAGCACATTCCTTCCTTCTGGCTTTACCCTTATACACCAAACAAACTATGAAGATGAATGTGACTCACACAGTCAGTGACACACCGTGTGGTCAGTGATTTCTTCCTGTGTCTGACTCACACAGGAACAGAAAAGCAGTGTCGGCTAGTTATTCGCTCCTTTCAGAGCAATTTCACTGCTCCTGCCTCACCGACAGGTTGATCATACTTCCTGCACACTTAAAACTTTTATGCAGGTGTAGCGGAAGGGTGAAAGGGCGGAAGAGAGGAGAAAATGTGATTGAACGAGGGAGAAGAATAGAGGAAGAAAAAAGAGAGATTGCACAAATGGTGAAGGCGGTGGGGGAACGTGTTAACTTGAGACGGAAGGAGCAAACACTTCTATTCTAAAACACCCCCGCTTGTTACAATCAGTTTCAAATGTGAAATTATGAGCCTGTGAAACCATCATAATGGGTTTGCAACTCCCATGAGCCACCACTAAGTGGAGCTGCGGCCTTATGTGTTCAGATACAGTATGGATCGTGGCAGTATTGCATAACCTTCAGATGTGCCCCTGCTGCCACCAAAGTGTTAAGTGGTACTGAAGGAGAGGTGGACATCGAGTTAAGTGCTTTTTCAACTGTGACTCAACAAAACTAAGAGTATCCTGTCGTGTTGCCATAGGAGGAAGTCAACATTTACTTACTTACTTACTTACTACTCTCATAGAGTAGTTTTCCTTAAATCTTTTTTATATTATTATACGTTTGTGTACCAGCGTGCTTTGGCAATAATATTTCAAAACCACCAAATTGAGCTGTAGTGAATAAATGGTTCAGTAATGTCTATTGATGCTTTGCTGCAACTAATGGCCATAACTTTCCACGAAGACCTCCATTTTCCTCACAGGAGTGTGGCATTGCAAGGTATAGTCTTTCTGTGAGTGAAAATTAGAGGCCACAACTGTGTCACTTGTTTATGATCAATGGAGGCAAATGTATTTGTGTAAAAATAATAAAGTTACCGAAAGGCTTAAACATTGTGACTGTGTTAGAATGAGTAATAATCCTCTTCATGTCCTTTGCTTAATAAAAAGACTGAATTATGAGCAAAATGTCACAGTTAAAGGATGGCACAATGATGCAACAACCCTCGGACAAAGAGAAATCATCAGTTCTAATTAGGAGCTGAAAAGCTTAAAGGTCCAGTGTGTAACATTCAGGAGGATCTATTGGCAGAAATGTTTTCATTAGTGTATAATCACCTGAAATATAGGAATCGTTGTGTTT